GGTGTCAATGGAAACAGGTGCAACATCCAGCCATTGTGTTTTAGCATCGCTGGAGGAAGGAGTATCTTCATCATCTTCAAGGTCGTCACAAGTGGCAAACATCAAAGCCTAATCTCAAGGTTGGAGATCTCATTCTCCTAAAGGACAAGGAAGTTTGTCAGAATAAATGGCCTATGGGTCTTATTACTAATGTTATGCCCAGTGATGATGACAAGGCCCGGAAGGCAGAGGTCAAGGTAACCAAGGGAAAATCAACAAGAACATTTGCTCGACCAATTACAGAGCTAGTACTCCTTTTGCCAGGTGACTGACTCGTGCAACCACTCTGCTATGCTATTGGCACTGCGGGGGTGTACATTATTGCTAACCACAGGTTTTTTACTTGAAACTTTGGTATTCTCTGAAGATGTCCCATGTTTGATTACTATATGTTCTGCCATCCAGTTTAACTTATGTTTATGTTTGCTTGTTGCATGTTTCTTGTTACAGTTCCAAGTTGTTCATCAAAATTGGACTTATTGAATATATATATTTTTAAGTTATGAAATCTAAAGATTTCAGATGGGGAGTGTTGTGTTACACTATTTGATTTATTATTATTCCTCTGTTTACTATTGCTCTGTGTCTTTAATCTGTCTCCTGTCAAAGCTGAGCTCTTTCTCTCACCGTACTTGTGTATATGCCTTCCCCCCTGCCTCTCTATGGTAATCATTCTACTGTATCCTGTCTTCCTGAATGCATATTTCCATGAGACTTACCACATTAATGTTTTTCTATCTATGATTATCCTCCATTAAACAGAACATTCGAATGGGTTTCCTCATTTGACTTCCTCACCATGTGAGTTATTCATTGAGTTAAACTGTCTAACCTGATGCAAGAAATAAATTCAACACTATGTCGTATAGCTGTATACAAAATAAAGTTTATGGTCTCATAGTTGAGTCAGAACACCTATGTGCCCTGTTTATACTATGCAAGTATGTTGCATAAAATGCATTGTGTCTGCATGTTTACAGAATGAAACACAAAGAAACGTATATCAATGCCAAATGCTGATCATAATAAAAAAAAGTTTTAATTTCTGACCCTTGATGTGGCCTGTACAGAAAAAACATAGTTCAACAAGCAGTAAAATGCAGCGCGACAAGTAAAAAATTAATATTGTGTTTTCTGGGCATTTTTATGTGCAATGAGATGTGAAGGAGTCCTTTGGAAAGTAGTGGTGGGGGAAGAGAGGTGAAGGGGAATCAATTACAGAATATCTGTGCTAAAATGACAGTTATTCCTTCAAGCAGAACTAAATTCCACTATGCATATATTTGCATCAACAGTCTGATGACCATGAGGTACCTTGCCAGCATCTTCTTCTCAGCTTCTTCCAGCTGCCAGTTTTTGGCCATCTTGAATGGCTGACACGGGAAGACGTCACTGCCATGCATGCACAGGTGTGCAGTACAGCTCAATGTACATTTTACAGAAGACTGGGAGCAGGCAGGTAGGTTTATTTTATTGCAGAAGAGACACTGCATGCCTCTTCTGCAAGAAAGAGCCTGCCTGCTAACAGTTTTTTAATATCAGACTTTAGTTCCTCTTTACATATTGTTGCTCTCTCAGTCTTTAGGGATGCTTCATGAAACCAGACACCAAAAAAAGAAAACAATTGGAGCTGTTGCCAACAGCAACCAATCATCTTTTACCTTTCAAACAAAAATTGCAATGGATCACCAAGAACTCCAGTTGTATGCACATCAGCCCATTTGTATCTTCGCATGGATCAGGACTGTGTTCAAGTTTTCTTTTATTCATTTACATGCAAAAAAAAAAATATTTTAAGCATGCCATCAAGAGCTTGCAGTATTTAATTGAATGCTCCCTTTGTAATGTAAATCACAGCGCTGTCTAGACAAAATGATTTCTACCTAAATTATACATATCTTTCCTTGTATGCTGCAATACCTCCCACCAATGATGCTGTGCCAAAAGCAAATATATGGAACTTATTTGACCTTCCAGCACTAAGTACAAACTATGATGTATAACTCCAGATTAGTCGGTGTCACTTAGCATTTCAAATTTTTAAAAACATATAATGATATAAAACCTTAGATTATGCTTCTTTTCTAATCATTTGTTTCTTAATGTTTTAGATTTATAAAACCCCAGACTAGCCTGCCTTCCTTTCTCTTTCTTTCTTGCTCTTTCTTTTTTCTTTCTTGCTCTTTTCTTCTTCCTTCTTTTTTGCTCTTTTTCTTTCTTTGTCGCTCTTTTTTTCTCCTTTTGTTTTCTCGCTCTTTTTTTACTTCTTTTTCGCTTTTTCTTCTTTCTGTTTTGCTTTCTTTCTTCTTTTCTTGCTCTTTTTCTTTTTTTTCTCCCTCATTCTTCTCCTTTCTTTCTTTCTTTCTTTCTCGCTCTCTTTCTTATTTGTTTCTCATTATCTATCATCTACTTTCTTTTCTCTCTCCTTTCTCTCTCACACTCTTACTTTTTCTCTCACTCCCCTTTGTTTCTTCCTTCCTTCCTTTCTTTCTCTCCAATCTCTTTCTCATTCTCCTTTATCTAACTCCTCTCTATTTTCTTTCTCTCTCTTTTTCTTCTTATCTCCTTTCTCTATTTCTTTTTCTCTCTCTCTCTATTTTTTCTCTTTCTTTCTCTCTCTCTCTCTCTCTCTTTCTTTCTTTCTTTCTCTCTCCCCTTTCTCTCTCCCCTTTCTCTCCTTCTCTTTTTTTTCTCTCTCTCTCTGTTCTCTTTATTTCTTTTTTTCTTCAGCACTGATCCTCCTCTTTCAGCCTGGCTTATGTCCTGAAAAATTAACACATCCCTTTATCACATCCCCATCACCTATTTTAGTTCCCATCAGGTCCAGTAAAGCTTATTTCTGTTTACATGAAATGTCCCATAAACACTGCAAAGAGCAAAAGAAAACTCTTGCATTGTTACAATTTTGGATGCTAAGTCGGAAGGCCATTAGACTAATTCATCCTTCACATCAAAGCCCACACACAGACAGCTCTGCAGCCTCCAGCTATTTTCCTTTGACTCTGCTTCTTGACAGCGGTCCTTCATATCTGCAGCTCTGTACTCTTTTGAAAAATATTGCTGCCTCCTTATTAAAAGGAATAGAATCTCTATCTGTTACAGCACAGGAAGCATCAGAGCTTTCAACGTCTGTAACTGACGTGAGTACCTGCAAAGGATGCTCGCTTATCAGAAAATAGCTCAGCAGCCAATCTGTTAACAAAAGTGGAAAAAAAATCATGCCTTTCATATATGTATTTGCAGAGATCAGGTTTGTTTGCTTTTATACTGAAAAAATATCCTTGTTTTTTCCCCAACATCTTTTACTGTCTGCATCAGGACCACCCAGAGAGTACATTTCAACGTGAGAGGCTGTGCAAAGTTCAAAGGTTCAGAATCAAACTACCCAATTTAATCAGTTATTCGCTGTCTTTCTTATATCCAGATTGGATGCAAACACAAAAATCCCAACAGACTTGCTGTCTGGAAGTCAGGAATTTTAAAAGAACAACCTCTACCCAAGTAAGAAAGGAGGAGGGAGTGGAGTGGGAATCCAAGCTTGGAAAGGGAGAGCTACACAGAGCATCCCACCCCTCTCTCCCTCCCAGGAGCTGCAACATACAGGACCCAACACACCAACCCAGCCACACTAGAGCCATCCAAGCACCTGCACAATGTTTGACCACACTCAATACCCATATAATTGCTTCAACTATGATGGAGATGATTACCCAACCTGCAGCTCTGATGAGGAGAAGAAGTGCACCAGACCTGCCTATAGGTAAGAAAGTTTAGGATAAGAATGGATTATACTTCTAGGGTATTTCCTTTTACAGGAACTGTTTACATTCAGTTGACTTATGACATTCTACATATATATATATATATATATATATATATACAGTATATATATATATATATATATATATATATATATATATATATATATATATATATATACTACACACACACACACACACATTGACACATAACTTTACATAAAATGTTATGCTAAGTACAAATACAAAAAAAATACATCTAGATATACAGATAGGTAGAAAAGAGATAGATGGATAGATAGATAGATAGATAGATAGATAGAGATAGATAGATAGATAGATAGATAGATAGATAGATAGATAGATAGATAGAAATTATAGTAAAAATGTTAGGCTATAAGTAGAATATAATATACTTGGAATTTTTTTCAGTTGGTATGCATCTATACCTATGAAGATAATAATAGATAGATAGATAGATAGATAGATAGATAAGTAAATAGATAGATAGTCATAAATGGTAGATTAATGCCAATATATTTGGAATTAGCTTTTTATTAGAATGCACCTATACCCAAAATGATAGATAGATAGATAGATAGATAGATAGATAGATAGATAGATAGATAGATAGATAGATAGATAGATTTTCATATATGATAAATTAATGTTAGGATATATATATATATATATATATATATATATATATATAGTATTGCTAGATATGTATGCACAAACATAATAGACGATAGTTAGATAAATAGATAGATTTGACTGGATAGAGATTTAAATAGGTAGACATTTGGATGGATAAATAGATAGATATTCATTTATGATAAATTAATGTTAAGATATATATATATCTTATATATAGAGAGAGATTTAAATAAGTAGACATTTGGATGGATAGATAGATAGATAGATAGATAGATAGATAGATAGATAGATAGATATTTTGCAGTTTGATTGACACTTTATGGAAATATGAAGATCACATTTCCATAGCAAGACAATGAAGTTCTGTAAAAGTTGTAAAGTATCACAAGCTAGGCAGAGTTGGGAAACTCATTGGTTCATGCTGTCACTGATTGATTGGTATGTACAGCATGCATAATAATTCTAGACAGACTGAAAAAGTTAAATTATCATATTTGAAATGTAAACTTTCTGATTTTTTTTTATAGTTACATTGCATTGATCGCTATGGCAATTCAGCAAAGTCCTGATAGCAAAGTCACCCTGTCTGGGATTTATGATTTTATAATGAAGAAGTTTCCATATTATCGCTCAAATCAGAGGGCATGGCAGAACTCCATAAGACATAACCTGTCCCTGAACAGCTGTTTTGTAAAGGTAACTATACCTTGATGAATGACTGGATGAAATATAAATTTGTCTATTCAGTGTCAGTACTTCTGTATATATGTATGTATATGTTAACAGGTGCTTCTGTATGTGAATATATAGATAAATACATACATACTGTACATTCACATACATGCTAACCAATATATTTATATAAGGCATGGTTAAGCTAATTTAAGCACATTGTAGTAGAATTGTGAAATGACTCTGTATTGATGAGGGTGGGTTTCTCAAAGTCAGATTTCATACAGTTTGTTCCTTGTCAACACAGTTTGGGCATTGATTAGTTGTCTATTAGTTTTTGTGACTACTCCATCAGGTGTTAATGATTTGTTGATAAAAAATTATAATAGCAATTTGCACTATTTTTACAAAATTGTTATTATGTTTTTTATACAACTGATGTCTTCTTTTGCACAAATTAGAAACAAAAAAGTTAAATATATTCTATGTACACATTTTATTAAACGTTGAAGATTTAACCTACAAACCTATTAATTAGAAACATGTCCTGATGATATATTAAGTGCAATTACCAATAACAACCATTTAGATTTAAAGCAATATTAAACCCAAAAACAAAATATTGCAGCTTACCAATCCTTATAAATGATGGCTGCATATATTTTATTTTAGGCTTTTCTTCCTTTATTTTCACCTGATGATCTGACCAGTAATTCTGCTATTTTTCAACTTCCTTTAACAGACCAAGCTGTCCAGACAAAAGTAGCAATTAGAGGGTTGAGAAAAACCATTTGACACTGAAAGGAGGGCTTACAATGGTCAGCTGTTTATTCATCTATGTAAAGCCTTTATCCCAAAAAGATATGGTCGCTATCATATCCTATCTTAAAGTACAACTAAAGGCAAAACTTTTTTTTTTTTTTTTTTAGCTTTGGACAGTGGAGAGGGATTAGAACACTTGTCAGTTTTTATTGCTGTCTGTGCCCACATTAAGAAGAATTACCCTATTTGTCCTATTTACCATTATCATTGAATGTGGAAGTAAAAGCTCTAAAATGAAAAAAAAAAAGTTTTGCTTATAGTTCTACTTTAAGTGCCTCTTCTCCAGGGAGAATAAGTTTAATGAGGAAAGATTACAAACATTAAACATATTGTCCCTGGAGAGGAGATGCTTAAGAGAGGATATGATAGCGATATACTAATATCTTAATGGTGATTCCAACATTGGGAGGAAACTATTCAGTCTGAGGTCACTCAAGAAGACACATGGCCACTCAATGAAGTTGGACGAGAAGTGGTTTACCCTTTAACTGCTTACAGGGTTCTTTACTGTTAGGGTGATAAGGATATGGAACTCCCTTCCACAATCAGTGGTTTCTGCAAGAAGTGTTACTAAATTAAAATAAACGTTTAGATGGATATCTTATTGAATACAATATACGGGGACATGGGGATTTGTAGAGGCACACACATTAAACTAGATGGACTGGTGTCTTTATTCAACCTTATCAACTATAATAATAACCTATTGCTGCAACTACCCAAAAAGTGTTAGCTTGAGTTCTGCTTTAGTTTGTTAGTCATGTCCATCTAAATCTGCTAGTCTATCTAACACTACCCTCTCTCCAGATTGACAATGCTGCTGTCTAAAGGTGTCTCCATTGTTTCTCCATCCAGAGTGGAGATATCCTAAGACAGGAAGTATGTTACTGGCCAGATCACCTGGTGCAAATAAAAGAAGAAAAGCTTAAAAAAAAAAGAAAATAAGGCAGCCACCATTTTTACGAGTTGATAAGCTGCAATATATTTGTTTTGGGTTAATACCATTTTCCTGAAATGTGCAGTTACCACAGTTAAGGATTGGTGAACTGTAACACATATTGTATTACATTTTTGTTTTGGGGTTTAGTACTGCTTTAACTTTGATCAGTGAAATCAACCTGATAGCTGCAGGTCACTGCTTTTTACATGCTGTTCTTCAATGTTTTTGGAAAAGCATGCAAGAGTATGATAACGTGTATCTGTATAACATTAGCAGATCCTTGTCAATTTAATTATGATTTTGTATTTTTTTTTTATTTTCTTTCAAGTAGTACTTACTGCACTTAACAGTAAACCTACACTAGATTATTTTGTGTGACTTTTTTGTGGATGTACAGTGTGTGTTTAGGTTTGTTGAATCAATGTTTAAGCTCTTTGAGCTCTTTTCAGTTCAATTGTTTGGCAGTAATTCAGATCCTTTAAAAAATTAGGATGTTGCATTTTATTAGGCAACAAACAAAACATAATAATACTTTTTCAAAAAGTGATAAGCAAATTAATCCACAAATCAGGAGAAGCTACACATTTATTTTTTTTATACCTCTAACTATATTCATGAAGGCTGGTCAAACCAGTTCATAACTCACATGCCACTGGATTTCCAAATTGCTTTAATCTCCACAGATTTGCATACAGCCCCCTATATATAATTGCACTATAGTAGGTTTGTATTCTGGATATATATATTAGTCAAAGGTTTTCTCAACCATTTTATCTCAGAGGAACACATGAACTAATTATATGGTCAGGGCAACTTCTGCTGAAGACAATTCAGTGGGGGTTAGTGGGAAGAATGACCCTTTACAGTGTTGGTCAGATTGTCCCCCTTACAGTGATGGTCAGAATTCCCCCCCTCATTTTTCCATATTTTACAAAATGCTAAAAATATCACTGGTGTCATACTGATGGTTCTTACAAATAGCTTTGACCCCAAAACTATATAAGCACCATCAGCCACAGCTCAAGGAACCCATAGCAACCTTTGGAGGAACCTTAGGGTTTAATGGAACCCTGGTTGACAATGGTGGACAAGTCTAAAACTTTTAGCAACATTGAATAGGCTTATGACTTGTGCAATACTGGTATATTCCCATGTCTGAATTTTATATTAATGGTAACAATACATTGTATACTTATAGGTTCCAAGAACAGAAGGAAATGAAAAGGGGAAGGGAAACTACTGGTCTTTTGCCTCTGGATGTGAGTCAATGCTTGACCTCTTTGAAAATGGTAATTATAAAAGAAGACGAAGAAGGAGGAATATGAAAAAATGCCAGAAGGACCGAAAGCAAACCCTGGCTAAAACTCTTCATTCTGGAGAATATACCATTATTGGATCTTCAGAACATCTAGCACCTCGTCATGAACATAGACCAGAACCAAGGACACAAGGAGATTCAGATGGTCTATTTTCAACAGGCATCTCTGGCAGACAGAGTCAAACCCGTTCTGGCCTTGGAAAGACAGATGAGATCAAATTTAGCATTGATTATATATTGTCTGCTCCGGACCCTTTACCCATTCTAAGACCTCAACATACCATTTTTGAAAACAAATTTCATATCCTGGACACTCACCAACGAAATCTTCACCTATGGAGTCTATAGCACATGAAGAAAGGCTTGCTGCCTAACGTGATTTTAAAGCAATATAAAACTCTTGGTGGTTATGAGCCAACTTAGTATCAAATGTGCAACTTCAGTGGTTGTGTAGCTGTAGGCAATGAATATCAACTTTGTGTTTTACTGAGTTTTCTTTTGAGGCATATATCCGAAGACAACAAAAAAGTTCCATTAAGCATTTTATGATCTATATAATCACGTTAATGCAAAGGTATGGAAAGGTAAAACATAACAAGAAAATACACTGTTGTAGCATTCACTCACAAATTGTGAGTCTAATAACAGACCCAGGCTGTGTATATTGCAACAAAAAAAAAAATAGTATATTATTACCTCTCCACTCACACAGCACAGGTTAAATGATTCTTTAATCTAAGGGGTAAGGAAATATTTAATTTGCTGCTCCTTTATGCAGGGTTCTTTTCCACCATACGGCCAGTCCCAAAAAGCTGATTCTCTTCGCTGGTCATGTGGGCAGAGCATCTCTGACGTCATATTTAATCCTATACTACCAGTCTCATGTTGTACATGAGAAGGCCGAGGACCTGCCCACATACTGGGGACAGAGGAGAGCAATGGCTGCCAGAGGAATCAGGAATAAGGAAAGTATTCCTGCTTACCCTCTGTTCCAGCCTTTCTCAACCTTTTCAACACAGAGGAACCCTTGAAATAACTTTCTCATCTCAGGGAACCCCTGATAAAATTACTTACTCCACAATTCATAATACATTAGTGTGATAGTCAGAGGTAAGAATGCTCCTTACACTTGTGGTCATTGGGAAGAATTATCCCCTTACAAATTGCTAAAAAGATCAATGGTGTTAGTGGGAACTTATCTGAGAGTCAAAAATTGCTCATTGCTCAAGGACCTCTGGCAACCTCTGGAGGAACCTTAGGGTTCCATGGAACCCTGGTTGAGAAACCCTGCCTTAGTGTGATGGTCAGTGGGAAGAATGCTTCATACACTTGTGGTCATTGGGAAGAATTACCCACTTATACAGTTAAAAAGATCCATGGTGCCAGAGGGAACTTCTCAGAGGCAGAAATTGCCCGTTGCTCCAGGAACCCCTTGCAACCTCTGGAGGAACCCCAGGGTTCCATAGAACCCTGATTGAGAAACCCTGTCTTATTCCCTAAACTAAACAACTATTTAACCGTTGCTGTGCCAGGGGCAGTATGTTTTCAGATGCCAATTTAAAATATATGATTAAAGATACCATCGTCTGTGCAGATAGAGATCATAGTCAGGGGCGGACTGACCATTTGGAAACTCGGGCACTGCCCGAGGGCCCGGGGGTCAGTAGAGGGCCCCATGTGATTCCCCTGGTACCTTTTTCATAGGCTTTTGTGAGTTTGGGCAAGGACACAGGGGCCTCATGATCCCCTATTGCCCGGGGGCCCCATGAGTTGTCAGTCCGCCCCTGATCAGAGTATTTCTCTTTGCTATGCACCCTTTTCATAAAATTCTGGGTTTTTTTTCTTCTGTAGGACTGTCAGGGAGGAAATGAGGTATGCATAGGAAAAAAGTTGCACAATGTCACAAGTTCCTAACATTTTCATTTATTATACGTGATTCGTTATATAAAACAGTTTTGGACATATACATTTATTAGAAGGCAAACTTTAATGCACATGCTTTTGAAGATTGTGTATAGTACATACAGTATATCTCAATTTGTAAAACAAACCTTTGCATTGACCAAGCAGGCAAATCAAAAGGTTCCCTGTAATGCTAGCCCCTGCAGTTGCTGATTCTTCTTTTCTCTTCACTCTCTTGTTGTTCACTTGTGTGGAGTTCAGCTTCCTCCTTCTACCACCATCTGAGAGTGCTAGGTGCCCAAGTACTAAAGCAGCCATGATAGGAAGGAAAGTGAGTCACACGCTATAAATTAACAGTAACCATTCTTTACTTCCATGGGAGAATGGATCAGCAGGAAAACAAAGGTTAGTATAAGCAGCTGAGGGGCAAAGCACATCACGTATTTGCTGTCCTGGGCATAGCAAAGAAAGGGGCATAGAATGGACACAGGGCAGTAAACCCATTCTATTGCACGCATAACAGTAAGGCTCCATGTACACGGGATGCTTGGATAACACTTCTGAATGATGGAAACTGACTGCTGGAAAACGTAGGTTAAAAAAGTCTGTTTAGCTGCGTTTGCATACCACGTTTATGCGCGTTTATGAGCGTTTGCGTTTACAAGCGTTTTTTAAAGATAATCTCAGGAGACTTTCCAAAATGCCTAGAATGCACTGAAAAACAGTAAGAAATTAACTATTTCAGACATTTTGAGAGAAATAGAGAGAGCAGAAGCATAGAGAGCAGTATTTGTTGAGATTAGCTGTCTTTTTTTTTTTTTGTGGTGTTTGGATGTGTTCCAGCTCATTTTTGTGCAGAAATTATTGCAGCAGTGTCTAACATATTTTCTTTCATGCGAAACCTCAAAGTATGGTGTACCAGGTCCATTTGAGTACCGGGAAAACGCTTTGCATGCATTTTTCATGATGAAAAAAGGCTCTGGACAGCATCTGGAAATGGAAGAGTTAAAAAAAAATTACAAACGCAAACACTTATAAACATGGTTAGCCGCATTTACAGGTGTTTGCAAGCATTTGAAACGCTGATAAAATCTACTCCTGAATGCAAGTTTGGTGCGTTCAAAAAAAACGACTGTAAACTCAACTGCCTGTAAATGACTGTAAACGACATAGTGTACATGGACACATAGGAAAAGAGTTCAGGGACTGCTGAAAAAAACGCAGAAAAGTTCCTGAACGTACGTTTATCAGCTGCAGTGTACATGGAGCCTAAGGGATGGGCGCAGTTCCACATCCTTGCCCTGGGAGCAAGACAAACTTGTCCCGCTACTAAGGTCTGTATAGCAAAGGAACACTGTTCTGGTGACTGAGATTTCCTGAAGCACAGAAAAGAAATAGATATGATCACAAAAAGGGTGAGTCGGCAACAAAATGTCTCCTTGAGGTTAATGATGGCTCCATTCATCAATCAGCTTCAGCACCCTTTTTGCATTAAGAGGGCCACTATACCTGATAAAGAAATACTATCCTCCCTCATTAAATGTTGTCCCAGTAAAGCAATACAATAGCTCTTTATTGGGTAATATGCTTTACAAAGATTAGGAAATCTCACCCTATGATCTAATGTGCCCTCTGTTTCCAAAAAAGAGCAGGATTCCCATTGGAGTTGGTGCATTTATAGACAGTTAATTAGGGGTGTGACCTTCCTGCAATATACGCATGCATGGGTTTGTAAGAGGTACACAGGTTTATTTTTGTGATAGATCAGTATTGATTCTCTTATCACCAATCATACTTACCGATCCTTTAAATTTAAACTTAGCAAATACACATTTTGAGTTATTATTCTCTTTTCTTGCTTGTTGTACTGTATATTCCAGATGGTATTTCCTCTACACATTTCCTCTAGTGGATATCTAAATGTCAGATCATGCAGTTAGCATCCTTGATAAATGAAGGCTAGGATAACATTAATTACAAGGGCCCAGAGATTCCTTATATTCTATAAAATATAGAGCTGGCCCAATGACCTGCATTGAGATAGCAGAAACATCAATGCACTGTCACTCTGCCTTTCTGATAAAACCATAGTAAATTCCATAGTATGACCAGAAAATATACCTTACAGGGCTAGACATTTTGATGAGTGTTTAAAAGTAGTGAGAAAATAGAATGGGACTGGAGTCAATAAGGTTGATTAACTAAAAGCAAATAGTTTTTGAGGAAATTTTTCCCTTAGCTTAGTAAATGGGGTGAAGTCCTGCTGACTTCCATCAAACCAATCATATTTGTTTTGTTAACGTGATTGGGTATTCTGTGTAAAGTAAATTTTCACTGCATTCACTAAGCTAAGGGAATATTCCCTTGCAAAGTGTTTTCTATTTGTTTTTAGTAAATCAACTAAATTGTCTATGGTGACCAGGGGCGGACTGACCATTTGGAAACTCGGGCACTGCCCGAGGGCCCAGAGTCAGTAGGGGGCCCCATGAGATGCCCTTGGTACCTTTTTCATAGGCTTTTTTGAGTTTTGGCAAGGACACGGGGGCCCCATGATCCCCTATTGCCCGGAGGCCCCATGAGTTGTCAGTCCGCCCCTGATGGTGACATTAAAGCGGTAGTAAACTAGAAAAGAAACATTTTATATATTGCAGTTTACCAATCATTAGATGTGGTGGCTGCATTTGTTCTCTTTTTTAGGCTTTTTTCTGTCTGCTTTCCTGTGGTGATATGGCTAATAACACACCTCCTGTATTAGAGTGCCTATACTCTGCATGAAGGAACACAGAGACACCTTTGGACACCAGCATTGTCAGTCTGGGGAGTGTTAGATGTACTAGTGGATTTAAATACACTAACAAATGGAAGCCAAACTCCAACTAAAGCTTTATAACCAGTTACAGCAACAGTATTTTTTCTTTTGAGATAAAAGTTTTACATAAATAAAAAAAGCTGATCATTTTAAGCAACCCTGCCATTGTTAAATGGTTTGACTCATCTCTGTAACTGACACATTCTACTGGAGAGCTTGTATTTTTGAAAAACAAGACTTACTGGCCACATCACCAGATAAAAATAGAAGAAAAAAAGAAAACTACTGCTGCCATCACATCTAAGAAATGCTAAGCTGCAATATAATAAATATTTGCTTTTGGGGTTTAATACCGCTTTAACTGCATTGAGATTGCATTGATGCTGAGAAAAAAAAAAGAGCTAAATATTTTAAACTCAAATTTAAAGCCCAACAACAATCAACACCTTTTTGATTTATATAGAGTACAGAGGGATTATAACCACTGTCATGTGTTTATTACCATCTGTTTCCCTGCCTAAGGGGAATCCTTATTTGCTGCCCTAATAGCAAATCTCTATAAGTGGGCCTCCAAACAGCAATACGACACTCCTGCTTGCAGAAAAGGATGAGAATGACTGTCACCTTTGTATTGCTG